TCACTTCTTCCTGTCAAGTGAAATATAAATAGATGGAGAGAAAAAAGCAGGCAGAAGTACCAAAAACTTTTTTCCCCTGCTCAGTGCTGAGACATATTCCTCATTATCTTAAATGTAAAAAGGTCACATTGCTGCACAATCCTGACAGAGCCGATAGTGCCGGTTTCTAACACTCACAGCCGCACTCAGTGCTGGAATATATCACATTTTAAACTTTACGACAGCACAGTTACAGCACTTCAGTTTCGGTGCTTCTGCCCTAATGGGTGCATGAACACACAGGCTGCACTACTGCCAACTATGACATCATATTTACACTTCAACAAATTAAAAAAAAAAAAACAGGAGATAAGTTTTTGTTAACCTGCTCATAAAATCTGTTATTGCCTCACATCTAACAGATCTTTAAAAACTCACCCAAGTAACTGACCAGTATGAGCAATTTAACTTAAAATATTCATTTTCATTAAGCGTGGGGTGAGAGTCGAGGTGACCTGTGCGGCACTGTGTCGGCTGCAAGCTGCTAAATATTAATTACTTATCCTCAAATATCACTGACGGTGCCAATTAAAAATTTTCACTGAGCTCTAAGGATACTACCCTCTGGTACCAGGGAAGTTATGAGAACAGAGACACCCAAATTACCCAGGCGTCCTTGCAGATAAGCTCTGGCGCCCATCATTTACTGTTCAGCACAAGCTGATAACATTATCTACAGCAGAGGGGTTAAGTAAAGACAAAATGTTAATGGCAAGTGCCTCCAATTTTCTTTTGAAAGGGAAATTAACTCTACTAATGTAGGTAGATATATTCTTAGAAGAAGCAACACACACCGTTGGTCATTTTTAGCTAGGGCTAGCTAACATACAGGGAATCAGACCACGTTTCTGATCAATTTGAAGTAAATTTTCTTACTAAAGAGAGAAAAAATGTAGGTTCTGCTGTTTAAAACGTTCATCCTCATGATAAAACCGTACATTTACAAAAGCAGTCACACTAAAGTGTTAATCACACATGGATTATTTAAGGTCTAACGAGGGTATGATCCCATATAAGTAGCCTGACGAAACGAGCGCATTTCAAAAGACCGTCAAAGGAGTGCTTCTTTCAGTGTCTAGCCCAGATATTCAGGCTCCTAATAATAACTGAAATCTGTCACAAAGTGCTCCAGACTTCAAAAACATATATACAGAGGCAGAGACTGAAGAGATGAGCGTCTGAGCAGACGCACTAATGAGGAGTAAACGGTAATGTCAGCATGTGTGGGAGTGCTTGTGAGTTATAGACCTTGAACATTAGAGCAAGGTTTTTAGTTGTCACCTTTGTCAAAAAGTAAAACAGGCATTTTAAAAAGGTTAAAGAAATCGCTCTGAATTTTTTCTTTTTTTTTTTAAAGTGTGATTCTTTCTGTTGTGTCAGGGGAGAAATCTGACTCATATCAGGTGATAGGAAAACTTACACTAAAAGCAGGTGTGGGTGTTTGATGCCCTCCGTATGCCAAAGTGCTGTTGGGCTAGAAACAGATAATCAGTTTGCCCCTTAATGGCTGGCCACCAACGTGTATGAGTTACTGTGATACAGCTTGAATGCTCAGATCATATCATGAAATTTGCTGTCCTACTGCCTTCTTGTAAGAACTGGATGAACTCAAAATCTCAATTTCTTCCATCACGTCCAGCTCGTCTTTGCTTGAAGTTGACTTTTCCGTGTGTTTTTTGGGATGAATTTTTCAGTGTTATTGGTGTGTCTATGTTACCTGACAAAACCGCATCTGCATCAGAATCAAGCTCAGTGTGTAAAGGTCTTAAGCACAAGTACCAAAAACTACATCAAGTCTAAGTACCACTCGAAGCTGGCTCTAAAAGTGATTAAACACCCGTAGACTTTCAAAGCCCATGGTATGAATTGCATTTAGCTTCACAGGATACTTCCCCCTTCAGAACAACTCTGAGTTGGGTGTACTCATCCACCTGGATCCTGGACCTCGCTTTGATTAACAAATTTACGATACAGACAGCGGAGGCTAGGCCTGCTATGCCTCACCTCTGCTAACTGGACTCATTAAATTGGACCTATTCTGTATGCGTGTGCCTTTTACCTGCTCTAAAACCATTTAGATTGATAATCTGACTGATGCTAAACCTTGCTACATGGTACAGACCGCACAAGATGTTTGGTTTATGAACGAGATACTAGTGTTTTATTAGCTTGCTAGCCAAGCTAGTTAGCATTAACTGATCCCTTAACACATCAACTTAGCATAAATGTTTTCACTTCTGGCTCCAAAAAAGCCCAAGAAAAATGTTGAAGCTTCAAAATATAGTCCAAAACAAGTGACATCACACTGGCTACTGTTATGTTGTCTATGTTCCAGGTTCATGGTTCTTGTTTTGCCCACAGTATATGAGTAAATAAATGCTAATGAGATCCATCTGGATCTCTATAAATGCTAAAAAGACTTAGGTAAAGTATATATATAAACTCTTAAATATGTATCTTTGAAATAACCAATAATTTTTTTCATAATAATCAGCTCACACTGTCCCCTGTACTGTAATTGCCAGGAAAGATGGTTTCATGTCATAGAAGTGATAATGAGGGGACAAACACACAGAGCACGCTAACAGCCAAAGCTCGGTTGGGATAACAGGAGTTTTTTGATCCAGAATCTATAAAAGTTTAGGGTTTTTTTTAGCTCTATAGTCTGCTTGCAAAGTAATAATGACCACTTTTTTCTGTTACACAGTCTTTGTGGCCAATGACTGGAGACAAAGCACTTTTATCTATTTTTACCTCTTTTGCTGTTCTGTTTTTCTTGAGTCTGAAACAGCGTTGTGCTGTCTAATGTTGTGTTCAGCACAGTTCCAATTCACAGTTTGCAGCCTTTGCTTGCGACATCATACCTTTACTTCTTTTATATGTATCATGAGACCCTGGCTGCCCTGGTAAAAGAGCAACTGATATGTTAAATGTTCAATAAGCAGCATGGTTCTCTAAAATTACAACACAGAATGCTTCCCCTGTGTGGTATCAATGAATATACAACAAAAGATGCCCTGGTATGCTGCATTAACAGTGCTTTCAGATATTGAAATGTACCTACTTTCTACCATTAAACACCCTCTACTATAACTGTTTCTAGTCCCAAGTTGTGGCACTTCAAGTGTGACCATTTTTTCTTTCTTTCCTTTTTTATATGTAAGCCCCGCATGTAATTTCCCCCAGGGCACGACGGGCAAAAATTGGGCAAATAACCCATCAATAAATTAACTTAGTTTAACTAAAACTTTTTCATCTTTTTCCATTCAGTTTAAATGGATTGTGTTGCCTAGGGGACAGAGAGGGTTTAAACTTTTAAAGGCTAGTCATTATAGCTGAACCCTTTTTTCTAGCGGCTGCTACTCACTCGCAGTCAGACAATAATATGCTCTCAATCTCCCCCGCTTGCTGCTGCTATCCTTGAAAATCAGTGCACTTCCCAAGTGAAGAATTTAAGAGGTACTGATTTTGCACATGAAGGCCGGTTCAATCGTCAAGGAGAGCACTACTGAATATGTGAAAGCAGCTATAAAGTTTCCTCTCTGGCACTGCAAAATAGTCCCAGTCCTGATTTAAACCTACAATTTTTGACAGAAAATCTTTATTAAATCTTTATCTTTATTAAATATTTAAAGATTTATATTGATATTTAAAGATTTAATAAAGACTTTAACACCAAGTTTACACTTGGTGTTAGAGCTGTCAAAATATTATTTGCCAGATATTGAAAGCTTTAATAAAGGTGTTATTAATTAACATTATGAGGAAATGTAGCCTTTCTCATTGTTATCATGCTTTGTGTAAGCCTCCCTCTTTATTAATATTCAATGTAAAATCTCAGTGCTTGTATAAAGGAAAAATCTAGTAAACATAGGTCTAAGAATCTCCATTCTATGGATCATGATAAACCCTGGCTCACCACATCTGTGTTATGATATTTTATTTATAAATATATTATTTAGGAATGTCACAATACCACACAAAAAAACCCTCAAAAAACCCAATATGCTACACAGCTACACACAACTTTAGGAGGTCCTGTTATGAGCAATTGCAATGCTAGCCTGGGATTTTGTGGTGGTTGTGGGCAGAACATTCATTTCAGGATTTTTAAGACATTTTTTGTAGTATCCCCGACACCCACACCGTTTACAGTACCCTTAATTTTCAACATTTTCACATTGACTTGATTTTAAATATTTATCTGTTTAAACAAACTACTCTAAAATTACAACGTAGACCTGCTGTTTCTCCTCGCATTATAACACACTGTTGTCACTTGGCTGCAAATCGATCGCTAGCTGCTGGGCTATTTGCCTTTGGCTACACTAGCTAATTCCCAAATTTTGGCACTTAAGATGATTCATGTTAAAGAAAATATCAGCTGCTTGCCCCAAGTACATTGTTCTGTCAAATTTTTAACTTATTATTATTATGTTAATTTATTCAAAATAGCCACAGCTGCTGTTTAGCAACCACAGATAGCACCTCCTGGTGGCTCTAAAAATAAAATTCAGGTTTAAGGTACTTGGGCATTGGCTTTTCAGACTTGGAGGCTTCATGCATATTTTATACTTCTGATACAGCTGTAAACCTTTACCGTGCATGTGTTAGTGCAAAACAATTCCACTAATATGTTTCCTGTTTCAACTGCCGATCGACTTTTTGGAGGCAGCGAACCGAATGCTCCCAAAGATTCGGAACCATATGTCCGCCATAAAAAAATCTCTGGCACAACTCACACTGCAAACAGCTACAATTCTCAGAGACAGACTAAGTTTGAAAAATAGTGGGAAGAGATTTCCTTTGGATGGAAGCATCAGCCACAGCTTATAATATTCACATAGGGACTATAAGGATAGAATTTAAAATTTCTCAGTAACTTGACAAAGCGTACATTTGGCTGAAGAAGCAATGACGTCAACAGGCAGACACAACGTAGCCTATATGCTAATGCTTACCCTGAAATCAATGCCCACGGTGGAGATGAAGCTCCCAGCCAGAAAGGCTCCATCTTTGAAGCGAACCAGCAGACAAGTCTTTCCCACGCCTGAGTCCCCCACGAGCATCACCTGAGACAGAAGGTGACAATGTATCGGTTCATAAAATTTTAAACCTTGCACGCTTGTGTGTGCGTGTGAAGATGTTTAAGGTATATAAAAAAATACATAAACAAATACTGGGAAAAAGCAGCATGTACAGACCAATGGACATAAAACTGCTTATTTTATTATGTCTTACATATCACATCATATAAAAATATATATACATTTTTTCTCTAATTCAGTGGTCTACTCTGATATTGGTGTTCATTTAGCTTTGATTTGCCATGTTCAGAGGTGACATTTGGTACACTGAACTGTTACAAGTGGGAGTACCACACAAAGTCAAAGTGGAGCTGTGATTTTGGTCAGTCTACCATGGGAACAGTTGCTAATCAGGGTGCATTATTAATACCAGCTTCCACCCACATAATGAGAATTTAGATTTGCATATGCCCAATGTAGAATATCATTAGTCTTTTTCATCTCCATTTCATACTTTCAATTATGTATGTTCTGTGTCAATGCTGTGTCATTATTGATTATTCCTCAGCCAAGTCGAGAGCCAAGACAGAGGTACAGAAAGATTTACTTCAAACAGTCAAGATATGATTGTACTACAGACTAATTCAAGGGGTTTAACAACAAGTATAGTGCAGTTTGTCTTTTTTTGTTTGTTAACTAAAGTATGTAAAAACCACCAAGTCAAATTTTGTGGTGGAGATCTAGAGCTTTGACAAAACGAAAAAACATTAAATGTTTGTGGGTATCCAGATCTGGCTCTTCCAGATTGTCACTCGTAGTACTTGCTTCCAAGACTCCAGACGTTCTTGTAATTTGCAAAATAGGTTTTTAGTAATAGTTCTCTAGTTTTCTGATGGCTTTTCAAGCTTTTCTTTAGACATTTGCTGTTTTTTCACTCACTTCACTCCAGTCTTATACCATATGATTAATATTTTTTTACGTTAAGCCACTTGACATATACCTATGAATCATTCATACATAAAAAGGTACCTAACTCAAGGGATGAACCAGTGTTATGTGTACACATAACAGACATAATTAAGCAAAGAACCAACTGTCAAAAAAACACATAATTGATTTCAATGTCTTTAGCTGAATCCATAGAAAATGTTAAAGATAACACAGATTGACAGATAGGCCAAAGAACTGAAAGTGTATCTTAGTATATCTTGGCTGAATGGGTGGAGGACAAAAGAAGAACCAAACCACCTAAAACCCTACAGTAGCTGAACAGTATCTGGGAAACAGGAAGAAAAGGCTGGGTTATGTGAAATTACACACAAAATTGGACTGAAAATCGGTTACAGTAAGTCTTATAGAGAGATGGATGGATCTCCTCTGACCATCTCCACGCATTCTGAGGACAGTTTGACAAAATAAGTCATCAAAGCGCATGGAGGAGGTCAGAGGAGAGGTAAAAAAGTGAGTCTCTACAGCCACTAAAACATGATGGAGGCTCAGCCAGTGGTGTTGGAAATCTTGTCAAAATTGATGGAATTACAAATGCAGATAAAAGTACTGACTGATACTGATCCACCATGCAAGACCTACTAATAGGAAAATGCTTCATTTTTCAGCATAGCAGTAATGCCAAGTACACTGTCAATACACTAAAAGTAGAAAAACACACAATGGAACACTAACAGTCATGGAAATATTGACTTTCAGGCTTACATTTATTTACATTTATTTATTTAAGTGTTAAGTTTGCACATTTCAATAAACTACTGCACCTATTTCCCATTTTCCTACCAAAATATAAACAAATGACGAGTGGCTCAAGACTTTTGCACAACCGTGTATTTAGAATTGCATATAGTATAGAAAAACAGAAAAGATATTTAGATTTCTAAATGATGAAAAAATGTCTTTCATTTATAAGCTATAACTCAAAAATATTCTTTTAGACACATAAAGTGGGCTACACACACACACACACACACAGCGTAGATGTAGCTTGCGAAAAGGGAAGAACGAAGGGATGCAAAAGCTGCATTTTTTTAACAGCCAGCAGTGGGCGACACCCTGCAAAAAACATCTGGGTGCACGGAAGTGTGTATGGCAAAAGAGTTTCCTGACGTCAGTAAAGACTTTCCTGATAAGCTTATAAGCTCATCTGCTTGTTTCTACTTATAACAAGTGAAACTTAATGTTAGTTTTGTCAATTTGTGTGCCCATAAGTGTCCATGAATGACATTAAAGCAAAGTATGCCGTATCATGTGACTGACAATCACCTCCTATGAGCACCAGTCAATCACATCCACCTTTTCACTCCTCACATCTGGTTTCAAAACACCAAGACGGTGTTTTTTTGGCGGGGGTTACATTTTTTGTAAGGGAAACTAAAACAGTCCTTCATCCCTGATGGCATCTGCCTCCTGACACAGCTATCAGGACATATCAAACCTGAGCTTTACCATGAGATGGCAGTAGCACTTATTCTGTCAGCTCCGCTCCTGTTAAACAAAAAGCGCCGCTGCTCTCCTTCACTGCAGTTAATTTATCTCATTAATAATAGAAACCTCTCTCCATCATCATCAGCTCTTCCATGTTATTGCACCGGACAACATGTGTGCAGCAACACTTAATGTTTCTAAAGTTCAGCGCTTGAAAGGAGACACCGGATGCACTAAGCAGCATTTCATGCATGTGCGAGCAGTTTGGAAGGTAAACATGAGGAAATCTCAAGCACAGAAGGAAAAGCTGTCAAAAACACGACACTGAAAACAACATTTGTTTTCTTGCATAAGCACACAGCACACAGTTTTTGCATATGTTACGTATGTTTTTCTGTTTTAAAGCACCTTGAGTGGTTTAAGAAGCCTGTTGAAACATAGATGACAAGGTGTATGATGTATATAGAGCTACTATCCAGCAGTCAAAAGAGATGAGATGATAACTCAGAGAAACTAAACTAAAAGAAAATTCTGAAATAAAAATGAACACAATAGGAAATTATATTTCTTGGCCGAAACTAACTTCCATACACAGCCATGCCTGAAAACTACAAAAGTAGAAACAAAGTAGAAAGACCACTATTTTAAGAAAAAGCCTGATTTTCAGGGCAAATGAATCATCTTTAATCATCTTTAGATTCATTTCTGCAAACATTCACTGTGATTTGTCTGTAGAGTCATGCAATCTACTGGACACAAGCACACTTTTAACTAAGAAGACAAGACACTTTTTTCCTTTAAAGAGGGACTTTTTAAAATTGGCTGATGCTAATTCGCTTCACTTCTCAGGTAAAGTCTCTATAAGACGAATACCCTACGCTAAGCTTGTGCTCACCTTGAAGGCGATGTCATAAAACTCTCCGCTGTTGCTGATGGATGGTCTGCTGGGATAGACCAGCCCGGAGGACGGAGCAGCAGCTGCGGTCAAGCCTTTCCCCGTCCTCCCGCTGCTCGGAGATGCCTTGGGGCTCTTGGAGCTCCCTTTGCCTTTCGCTGTCTTCTTCCTGGACATGACTCTGACGACCTGCTTCACTTCGAGTAATTAAAAAAGGAAAAACGAGGAGGAGGAGAGTGTGAACTGGACACTTTTCTTTTCTCCTTTTTTGAGTTCTGATCGGGGTGCGTTGAGGTGAGGTAAGTTCACCTGTGCGTCAAAATCATGACTGTGCGTAAAGCCTAAATTGGCAAGTGACAACAAAACGGAAAAACTGTCCTTTAAATAGAGGCAGCTGTTGTCTCCGCGGTGCAGCTGGATGACTGTAAATCTGAGGTCTGCTCGCAATGTAAACAGCACCCTCTCTCGCTCTCCCTCCCCGCCTCTCTCTCCCGTTCTCTCGTAACGTGATGTTGGGAGCGGGAGAAGGCATGGTTCTGTGGAAAATCCACACTAAAACAAAAAATAAAGAGAAAAGAAATCCACACACTTTCAAATTATGCAGCACAAAAGCAGTCTCGTTAAGCTAGAAAACGGATTTCTTATAGCTGATAATGCGGCACATCAAAGATACCTGATGAATGATCGGTCATTATTTTAAGGAAGGACGAGAGACCGGAATCAGTCTTTTTACGGGGTAATTCTGGAAGCTTTACAGTATTATGCACATCTTATTTAGGCTGTGGCTCCAAGTTTTTAATGCACAAACAGACTGCACTAATGTTTTGGGTGTATTTCCTGTCTTAAAGGTCCAGCTTCCTTCTGGCACCGATTCAGACTTTCAGTTAGCTGTTAGTGCTGTGCCATACTGCAAATTTTGGTATGATGCGGGGCAAGTATACCGATACCAATTACCGATATTGATACTTTTAACTTTTAAAGGTAGATGAGAGCAGTGTGTCATGACTTATGAGCTGAATCATCATCAGTTTGAAAATTCCAATGACCACTAACTCACTGTGATTTTTACTTTTCCAATAATTAGTTTACACATCAAAACACATCTTTCAGCTTTTCATGTATTTTGAGCCTGGGTTTATTGGAGACCTGGAATGTAAATTAGTCTGTCTGGGTTAACTTCTGTTTTTTAAATGTGCTACAGGTTATAAATAAAATAGTCAGTCAACACAAAACGGTTCTGACATTTTTCATAGTTTGAGGTATATATATTAATTTGCAAAGAATGAAAAAAATTCAGTGGGCTACTTGCTCATGGGGCGATCTTGGCTCAAGAGTTGGGAGTTCGCCTTGTAATCGGAAGGTTGCTGGTTCAAGCCCCAGCTTGGGACAGTCTCGGTCGTTGTGTCCTTGGGCGAGACACTTCACCCGTTGCCTACTGGTGGTCGTCAGAGGGCCCGGTGGCGCCAGTGTCCGGCAGCCTCGCCTTTGTCAGTGCGCCTCAGGGTGGCTGTGGCTACAATGTAGCTTCTGTGAATGTGTGCGAATGGGTGGATGACTGGATGTGTAAAGCGCTTTGGGGTCCTTAGGGACTAGTAAAGTGCTATATAAATACAGGCCATTTGCTCAACTTAGAGGATAAGTATCGATCCTATTCTGGTTTTATCAATCCGATATCAATGCCACCGTTGGTATCGATGCTATCAATATTTAGATCAAACCTCCTCTACTTGCTGTTCTGTGCAGACACTTTCAGATTTATGGCTTCGTATCTCCTGTATCCAATACTACTGAGGCAGCTCCTCTTGGGTATAGTGCACAAGTCCAACAGCTGTTAAGCAGGCATCCTGTAATATGTGGGACTTCAGGTTGCCTGTGTTGTAAAACAATTACCTTGTTCTTTCACTGATGGACGTTTGGGATTTAGAGTGGCATTACAGCAGGAAAAAATTAAATGGTTATGCTGAACACCATTAGCCAAATGAGCCATCAGGTTTTTGGGATGGTGAATATTTAACTGGAATAGAGCTTGGCACGGCCACACACATTTTTTATCTCAGGTGCCAAGCAGCAAAAAGGTGAATTGTTGACAAAACCATGCAGTCTAGGAGAGAGAAAAAGGTGTGTGTTAGACATATTAAAATTAAGCAACAGTTTCCAAACACAAATAGCCCTGTGGGTCCTTGGGCAATGGTTTTTCATGGGCCCATAAGTAGTCTTATACATGCATATATACAATACACAAAACACTATAGAAAAGTCCAGTGTCCCAAACTGTCACCATGAATGTAAATGTGCTACATCTGAGTCCAAACCTTCATCCTAAAGCAGAAATCTTAAACTTCTTTTACATCACAGGTCACATACGCCCCATTTTCATCTTATGTCTGCACTAGAGGGAGGCGGATTGATCCAAACATTGATGTTGGTATTGGTATTAGACTGATACTACTATGTATCAGTGCTACTATGTAGCCAACTGAATTGTGTTTTCTCCTAAATATTCTGCCTTAAAAGTATCAGAATTTGTACTGGTGTCTGAAACACTGGCCCTTTATTTACTTGGCATTGGAGCATAACAAAATTTACAGTATTGCACAGCACTAAACTGCACATTTAATCTCTGAATCATTTTAATATAAGATAAAGAAGCTAATTTCAACCATGTGTTTCAGTTTTTCTACATGATAAAGAAATGCTGCTGTAGTAAATTAAAGGAATCTGTGAGCATGACTCTTTGGGATTAAATTGTAAGGAGTAAATCTGTAAAATTACAGAAATCCATAATCTAATTATCTTCGTGTATATGAATGGTCATAGGGGAGGTCTTTGTCAGTAGGGAAAAGCTTTAAAACTTAAGAAAATACAGTTAAATGTCCCAAATTTCTTTGAAATCAAACACTTCTGGTTGAAGCCACGTTTCTTAGGAGAACGCACAGGCTAAGAGACTCATCAAGGACTGGGACATAATCTTGCTCCACACCTTGCAGAAGACTTACAATTAGAGTGCTGTCGACATGCATCTCGATCTAGGGTTGTTCTAATGCTTATTAGTATTAGACCCAGATAGAAGTGGTAAAAACACACAGCCCTGAGGGGATCCAATTGAGGATGATTGGACAGGGTTCCAATAGCCTAGACCCACAGGATCTGGTTGTTAAGAGGCCAGTGAGCCAACACTGTGCTAAAATCTATATTCAAATTAAATTAAAGGCTGTGTGCAAGAAGATGTGGCTGAATACAATTAAAACCAAGGGCGAAGTCAATAAAGAGCAGATCTATGGTTCTTACATGTCTTATAGTGTCTTCGTACAGGATTTAAGAGTGCAGTCATGTCATCCTCTACAAACTGCAAGGCAGGAATGTCGACTTTAGACGTTACACATTCAATCCTATTTGATATAAGAAAAAGACGTGCAACTTCAACGGTGCGTCTCAGTTTTTACTCATGACAAAGAAATACTGCTCTAGCAAATTAGAAAAATCTGTCAACACAAATAAATAAATGTATAAAATTACAGAAAAACATCCGGCAGCTCACCGCCCAGGTTAATTCACAAAAAAACATCCCATTCTTTCGCCCCGCTGTGTACTTATTGTAAAAAAAAATAAAACAAAAAAATAAACAAACCTGAAATATCTAGACTTTTTTTCTTCTTTAGTTGTTATTGTTTATCTTTTATTTAATTATTTTTATATTTCAAAGTCTTCCAGTGGGCCAGATTTCAGTCTTTGCCAGGCTGATTCTGGCCCCCAGGCCTTATTTTTGACACCCCTACATGTCACCTACTGTGTTTTCCAAGATACAAAGTGCTCTTCAACTGCAATGATTCAAAAGCTGACCAGGAGGTAATTGGCAGCACTTCTTGTGTTATATATAAATTATTAATTGCTTGATTCTTTAAGTAAAAATGTGAAAAATGCACTGATACCATTCTCCATCCGTTCTAGTGTGAAAACATCAGCATGTTAACCTGGTTTCAAGTAAAAGTAGCCATAATCTCAGTTGGCACCATAATATTGGCAGAAGCAGAAAAAAAAAGGTAATTTTTTATTAATGGATGTTGAGGACCTGTTGTTTTTGAACAAATAAATCAATGCAAGATGGTGCATGTTTGCCATGTTTGACGTTGATTTCAGAGCCCTCATAATAGGTTGTGCTGAAGATTTCTTTCTGTTAAAAGAGAGTTCTTCCTTCCCACTGTTGCCATGTTCTTGCTAACAGATCATAGTTTTGTTTTTTTCTTCTGCAATATTACCTTAAATGCCTTAAGAAAACGGTTGTGAACTGGAACTAAATAACTATTACGTTAAACTTAGTATTTGGTTATCAATTTTTAGACTCTATATTTTTGAGGAGGAACTCTCAATGCAATGCCAGTTCACACTTAGCATTCTGGGTTGTCTTATTTGAGCCAAAAAAGGAATCTTATCTTTTCTTTTTTTATTGATTTTGCTCATTTTTCCTTGAGCAGTGGATCATTAATGTTATCAATAAGAAAGAAGAAATAAGCTTAATTTCAGGAACTTGGTGGAGCCATGGAGCATAAGCAATGGCACAACCCCGTAACGTTTCACTGTAGATTCACTGACATTCATTAAAATTGCAATACAGGGCGCTGGCCTTGCTGGAGGATGTGCCGTCTAGTTCGACATATGATTTTGCAGCTGTGCACTCAGATTTGACCCAACCAATTATTGCTGTCTGCTTATATGTTGTGTGTGTGTGTGTGTGTAGGACAAAATCCCTGCCCTGCTCCCAGGAAGAGCTGAAGACAATACAGTAGCTACCGTGTTACAGAAAAAGACCACATGAGTCACTCGTTTATATTCAGGAGCTCCCTCCCTCATTGCAAGTAAACAGTCATTTTCCTACGTCTACCGTGACAACGCACACCCTAAAAAGCATTTTATGTAAGGGTTAACAAAGGATGATGAGCTGCACTGGTGACTCATTTGCTGGGTTGCATACTGTATTTGATCGGTTTTGTTCATGGAAGACTTGCTGAGCATACTTTTCCAGTGCAGCCTAATTCAGCTACGAGCCTTCACACTGACAGCTTTCCAACAACTCTAAGCAGTCACTGATGCATCTGCTGTGGGATTCATTCACTTCCTCTAGCCTGATTTTACCAGCAGGGAATTGAACTTGCAGCCCACACCCATTTTGGTCATATCTACTCTTTGAGTGCTGCTGCCACCTCCGCTTTAATATTATATCAGAGGACAACTGGGAATGTGCCAGACTGGAGCTGTGGAGAGTTATCAGACGCACCACCCTGCCGTGTTTTACACAATCGGGATGCACAGTGGATGTCTGTGTGATCCAGTGATCGATCTGTAAGTTAACAATCAAAGGCACATAAAACTGTAGGAAAGGCAGCGGAAGTGATTGTAGAGGGAGGTTGGAAACAAACAGAATGCGGATGCGTTTGATGAGCAGGCTATTAAAAGTATCCACGCTGTGTGAGCGTGGCA